AATGAGAAGATATTAAGCATCTTTTTATAGCATCTTCTGTGTGTTTGTTGGCTCTTTGTACCTCTTCAGAGAAATATATATTCAAGTTCTTTGTCCATTTTTGTTTGTTTGTTTTGGGTTTTTTTGGTACTGACGATCGAACGCCGGTCCTTGTGCTTGCGCAGCAGGCGGTGAAACCACTGAGCTAAATCCCCGCCCTTTTGTCCATTTTTGAATCAGATTTGTTCTTGTTGAATGGTAGTTTTGCTACATTATAGGTATCAATCCCTCTTTGGATGTATTATTTTCAAATATGTTCTCCCTTGCCATAGGTGGCCTTTTCATTCTGTTGATTGTGTCCTTTGATGTAGAAGTTTTTAGTTTCAATGAAGTCCAATTTATCTATTTTTATTTTTAATGCCTGTGATATCAGTGTTATATCTAAGAAATCATTGCCAAATCTGTGTCATGAGGCTTTCCCCCTATGTTTTCTTCTAAGAGTTTTATAATTTTCGCTCTTATATTTAGATCTTTTTTTTCATTTTTTTATTAGTACATGCTTGTGGGACATAATGTTTACATTCCTTGTGAGGAATTGGTATATGACCCATTGTGAATTAATCTTCATATATGATGTAATGTTAGGATAGGTTATTATTGTTGTTTGGTTCCTGTTGTTAACAAAAGAAAATACAGTGGACCTTTGAGTTATGACCAGCCTGACACATGAACAACTTGGGTCGTGACCAGAATTTTAGTTTTAACTTACAAACAAAGTCTTGAGTTACGACCTGAATGCTGGCCAGTTGTGCTTCCAGGTGGTCTCAGATATAGATTTAACCCTTAAAGAGTTCAGGAAGGAACATTACAACATCCTTTCTTGTATGGGGTTATAATTGAGAAATCCTCAGCCAATGTCTAAGGACACTGAGATCTGCCTATGTATAGGAGAGAGACTTTGAGGCTGTGTAGAGGAGCCTGAGCCTTCAATTGAACTTGAGTTACAGCCAGCCCTCAGAAATGAAATGAGTTCGTAAATCAAGGATCCCCTGTAGCTGGGCATGGTGGCACATGGCTATGATTCCAGCACTGTGAGAAGTAGGAGGACACAAGTTCAAGTTTAGTCTGTGTAATTTGGCAGTTTATCAAGACCTCATTTCAAAAGAAAATTTAAAAAGGGCTGAGGATGTTGCTCAGTGCAAAGGCCCTGGATCCAATCCCCAATACAAAAAAGAATCAGGGGCGGGGGGGAAGGCTATTACAGAAGGTCTTTGGGCTGATAGGATTAACCTAGGAGAGGTAAATACTGACATGCAGGAGAGAGGATAACTACAGAAGCCAAGTCCCTGAGTAAGTGAGATCCTCCAGCAAACTTTAGGCAGGCTCCTCTGAGCATTCTTCCTGACAGGTCTCAACCTTGAGCCAGTCCTATCTTTAGCCCTCCCAGCCCATTCTTAACAAGGCATCCTACTAAGTCACCCTCTACCCTTGATATCTGATCAAGATCTTCATCTCCATCCTTAACGGCTAAGCCTTTAGCCTGCTAAAATCTGTTAGAATTTTATTAGGCCAGTTTATCAAGAATTCACCTAGAGGCCAGGGAATTAGCTCAGTGGTTTCACTCCCTGCTGTGCAAGTGTAAAGACCTGAGTTCGATCCCTGGTACAAAAAAAAAAAAAATCACCTAGAAAATATCTCTAAACAAATAAAGATGAAAACAAAACATACCAAAACTAATGGGATGCAATGAAAGCAGTGCTGGGAGAATTTAGAGTTGTAAATATTTACATTAAGAAAGATTTCAAATCAATAGCCGACCATAACATCTTTAAAAACTAGGAAAAAACAGCTGGGCATGGTGGTATGTGCCCACAATCCTAGCACTCTGGGGAGCTGAGGCAGGAGGATCACTAATTTGAGCCCAGCCTAGGCAACTTAGTGACTTAGCAAGATTCAGTCTTTAAAAAAAGAAAGAAAGAAAGAAAGAAAGAAGAGAAAAGAAATTTGAGAAAAGGACAAAATAAACCCAATTCTAGGAGAAGAAATGATTATAGCAAAGAGAAAATAGAAAAACAATTTTGAAAGTCAACAAAACAAATACTTGTTTTTTTAAAGGTCATAAAAAGTGACGACCCTTTAGCCAGACGGATTAATACAAGAGAGAATGGGCTTGGGTGTGCAGTACTGTGGTAATGTGTTTGCCTAGCATATGCTCAAAGCCTTGAGTTCAAGCCACAGCACTGAAAAAGAGAGACACATGGGACTGGGGATTTAGCTCGGTGGTTCCGCCACCTGCCTCGCAAGTGCAAGATCCCGAGTTTGATCTCCAGTATACCAAAAAAAAGAGACACAGAGAGAAGTGAGTGGAGTGTGAATAAAAACAGAAAAGTAAGCATTATGACCAATTTTACAAAAATAAAAATGACTATAAGAGAGTGCTATGAACAATTGTGCAAAGCAAACTGGATAACTTAATAAATGGACAAATTTCTAGAAGCACACAAACTGCCAGGACTAAATCATGAAGAAATAGAAAATTTGAACAGAACTATAACCAGTAAGGAAATCCAATCAGTAATCAAAAACCTTCCAACAAAGAAAAGTCTAAAACCAGATGGTTCCACTGCTGAAATCTATCAAACATCTAAAGAAGAATGAACATCAATCCTTCTCAAACACTTCCTGTTTCACTCTATGAAGTCAGCACCACCCCCATACCAAAAAACAGACGAAACTACACTAAGGATTTGGACACGAAATGCCACTCAAAAGCTCACGTGTTGAAGACATGGTCCCCAGTACATCAGTGTTCAGAGGCAGGGTCTTTGGCAGATGGTAGAATATGAGGGCTCTGACCTTATCAGTGGATAAAGCCATTGATGCATATTTTAATGGGCTATTACAAGATGGTAGGAACTCAGGAGGTGGGCCCTAGCTCGAGGAAGTAGGGTGTACCCTTGAAGGGTGTATTTCATCCTTAGCCCCTTCCTTTCTCTCTCTTTACTTCTAGACCACACATTTTGTCCTTAGCCCCTTCCTCTCTCTCTGTGCTTCTAGATCCCCATAAGATTAGCACCTTTACTCTACTCTCTGCCACAATGTTCTGCCTCAACATGGGCCCAGAAGCAATGGAGCCAACTGACCGTGGACTGAAACCTCTGAAATCATGAGCCAAAATAAATCTTCCCTCTTTTTAAAATGACTTTCTCAAGCATTTTGTCACTGTGACAGAAAGCTGACTAACACAAATACAGACCAATACACCTTATGAACATCAATGGAGAATACTTTAATACAAGCAAATTACTCTTACCTACCATCTGGGTTCAATCCCGAGGTTCAAAACAAAATAAAAATGCTCCTTTAGCCAGGTGGGGTGGTGCATACCTCTAATCCCAGCACTTGGGAGGCTGAGGCAGGAGAATTACCGAGAGTTTGAGTCCAGCCTGGGTTACATAGTGAATTAAAGGCCAGTCTGAACTAATAGTAAGACCCTGTTTCAAAAAAACAAATAAAAACTAAAAAAGACTCCTTTGCTAGACATGATGGTATAGGCCTGTAATCTTAGCTACTCAAGAGCTAAAACACTATTTACCAACAATGTGTAGTATGAAAAAAAAGAAGAAATCAACCCATTTGCCATAACATAAAAAAGAATAAAACGTTTAGGAATCAACTTAACCAGGAAGGTGACAGACTCATACAATGAAAACTGTAATACACTGCTGAAGGAAATTAATGAAGTTGTAAATAAATGGGAAGAAAGCCCATGTTCATGTACTTAACATTAAGATGTCAAATATTACCCAGTGATCTACAGATTTAATGCAAACCTTATCAAAATCCCAATGATTTTTTTTTTTTTGCCAAAGTGGAAAAAAAATCCATTTTCCAATTCGTATGCAATCTCAAGGGACTTGGAATAGAGGCAGGCATCCACTGAGCTAAATCCCCAAATACCATCTTTTGGCTACTGTGAATAATGATCATGAACAAAAGAATCAAACAGAGAGCCTGCAAATAAACTCGGACAGAGCCAGGAGTGGTGGTGCATGGCTGTAATCAATCCCAGGACTCGGGAGGATGAGGCAGGAGGATCGCTGAAAGTTCGAGGCCAGCCTGGGCTACATAGTGAGCTCAGGGACAGCCTGAATTACAAAGGGAGACCCTGCCTCAATAAATGAATAAATATATAAATATAAAAATAAACTGGGACACATACAGTATAATCACATAAATTCTGACAAGCTGCCACAACCATTCAATGGGGGAAAGTATACATTCCCTAAGGAGGTGTCTGCACCTGACTCAGCCTCCAAGATTGCTTTAACCTAGCTCTCAATTGGCTACAGACCTTCCCATGGTCTCTTCAACTTTCTCCTCCCCACACCTGCCTTAACCTATTTCAATGGTACAATTTGTTATGCAGTTTTTAGCACATTTAAGAGCTGTGCAGCAGGTATGGAGGGTCACGCCTATAATCCCAGCATTCTGGGAAGTTGAGGTAGGAGGACTGTATATTTGAGGCCAGCTTGGGTGATTTAGGGATTTAAAGAGGCTGTTTCAAATTTAAAAAAAAAAATTTTTAAAGAGGTGGGGATTCATGTAGCTCAGTGAAAAGCCGTGGGCTCAATCCTCATACTCAGTAAAATAAAAACGAAGAGTTGTGCAACCATCGCCGTAATCCAGTTCTAGAACATTTCCATCACCCTATTTAGCCTTTCTGAGTCCCTGGTTTCTTATCTAGAAATGGCCATACTCTGAGCCTGGCATTAACACCCACTACCTAGAATTCCTATCCTTGCTGATGCCATCTACAAGATCATTATCTTTTCCCTGCAGTTGCCAAATCCACACACTAAGGGGCCGACCCAAACGGAGCCAGGTCCTCAAGACTCCGCGGGGGCGTTTCCGCTTGCGGCCCCGCCCCCGCCCCCACCCCGCCCTCCGCCCCGCCCCCACGTGCGATCCGAGGATCGGGCTTCTCCCCAGCGCCCTGGCCGTGGTAGGGGGAGTGGCTCTGGGGTGGATTAGTGAGGCCTGGACGCTGCGGGCGCCTGCGCTGTGACCCGCGCCGTGGGGGCTGCGTGTGATAGTTCCGAGTGGGCCGGACAGTGGCTACCGCTGCTACTCCGCGACGGTCGCGCCATGGCAGATGAGGAGCTGGAGGCGCTGAGGAAGCAGAGGTTGGCCGAGCTGCAGGCGAAACACGGGGTGAGCTGGCGGTTGCCGCCTAGCCGGGTCTGGTGTCTGCCCCACACGTGAAGGCCCCCCCCCCGCGGCCTCCTGGCCTGAAGTCCGGGCCTTTCGTGCCGCGTGGGTCCGAGTGGGCGCCGGGCACTTGCGGAGCCCTTGCTGGGTCAGGGGTTCTGCTGGCTGCCTGCCTGGCGGCCGCACCCCTACACCAAATCTCGGAGCTGGCCGCCAAGGTGTAGAATTGAGCTGCTCTGTCCCGAGCAGGCAGCATTTATTTTAGGATCTGCTGAGTTCCAAGTGCTGTGGGTACCGCGGGGACAGAGCAGCCTCCGCCCCGACGGAGTTTACTGTCGGAGTTGGGGCTCCAAAAAGTAAACAGTGATCCTGGAGTGCTCGGGTAACGCTTTTACGGCAGAGGGAGGGGAGCAGGCTGGAAGGAAGCACCGTTTGGAAATAGGGCACATTTTATTTTCCAAAAGTTATTTTTGTATGTAAATGCGATTTCGTAGTACAGGGATTCTCCTTCCACAGGTTTTGTTTGTTTGCATGCTTGCATGCGATACTAGTAATTGAACCTGGGACCTTAAGCATGCTAATAAACAAGTGCTCGACCACTAAACTACATCCCTAGTCCCCAAGGGTAGTTTGTAGTCCCAGAATCTCTATGAGGTTGTGACTTTTAGAAATTCACCAAAACATTTCAAGTGTGGGCTAGGGATGTGGGTGAGTAGTAGAGCGCTTGTCTAGAGTGCATGAGACCCTGGCTTTAATCACCAGCATCGCCAAAAAAAAAAAAAAAAAAAAAAAAGCTGGGCATGATGGTGCAGGGGTGTAATCCCAGCATTCTGGAAGGCTGAGCCAGGAGGATCTCAAAGTTGAGCCCAGCCTGAGCGACTTAGACCCTGTCTCTGAATAAAAAGGGCTGGGAATTTAGCTCAGTAGGAAGATTTGGGGTTCAATCCCCAATGCAAAAAAGCGAAACCCATCTCACTGGTTTGTAAGCCCCAGTTTTTAATTATTAAATAAACCCACTACCCCTTCAGGAACCTATTATCAGAAAGAAAATATAGTCCTATTTTATTCCCCCTCTGTGAAATTATACTCTATTTAAAAGTTTGGTTTTTAAAATTTTTTTTCAGGATCCTAATGATGCAGCACAACAGGAAGCGAAACACAGGTATGGACTGGAAATCTGAACCTTTTGAAGGGCAGTTTCACCAGTTGGATTTTTAAAAGTTTTTTTTCTTTAGGAATTTTAACAGGTGTGCAAATCTTTTTTTTTTTCTCATTAAGTTTGTTGGTACATTTTCGGTATAAAATACAGTTACATTCATCATTGGGATCTTGTACCATTACATGAGTATCTTGATTCTTATTTTTTTCCCCTTCCCCTGCCCTCCACCTCCTCCACCCTTCCCTATTTGCAAAGACTTTGTTTCCATTTTTTTCCTTTTCTCATATTTTTTCTTTTCCCTTTTTTCCTTTCCCCTACCCCTCCCACTTCCCCTGCACCTTTAGACCTT